TGGCGTACGGAAAAACATGTCAACGAGAAATCCCGCGAATCGCGAAAAGGTCCAGGGCGTATTCTGTTATGCAGTGTAGATCGAAATAGTGAGGTTGTGATGGTGGGCATGACCATTCTAACCACCGGTAAGGGTAACAGCAACCTCAGCCCCTAGCCAAGCACAACTTACCACGGCGGAAGACAATTCTCCACCATTCTCCACAAATACTACAGTGTCTTGGCTTGCCGGACGAGATCCACAATACAGGGTCTCATCCACCCCGTAGCAATTTCACGACGTCCGTAGAGGGCTACATCGGTGTCTAGATCTGGTTGGCGATACAGGTATCGTGGAGAGGTGGGTATGGAGGATGTGTATAAAGGCAATGGGGATTCCGAGTGGTAGACCAGCAGCTCACTCATCTCTTCTCCGAGTATCCAGCCCGTCTGCAAACTTAGCAGCTCCTCCACTTCATTCTCCAACTTACGCACGAACTTGTTACCATCATGTTGTCTCAAGTCGCACTCCTTTCCCTCGTCGCCAGCATGGCAGCTGCGCAGACTCTCAACATCCCCACTCGCTCAGGCAGCATCGTGTCGCTCCCCCAGCCCAGCACCATCACCGGCAGCGTCAACTTTGGTAACAAGGAGTTCGACCGCGGTCGGCCTTGCAACTCAGACGAGGATACTGGCAGCGACAGCGCCGTCTTCATCCTCCAGAACGGCGCGTCCATCTCCAACGTCATTATTGGCGCAAATGCGCTCGAGGGCGTGCACTGCTTGGGTATGCTTTATGTTCATTTTGTGATTTTGTAAGAATGGTACTAACAACCTTGGAATCACAGGCTCCTGCACCCTAACAAACGTCTGGTTCCGCGACGTCTGTGAAGACGCCATTTCCATCCTCGGCAGCGGCAACGCCCTCATCCAAGGCGGAGGCGCCGCCCAAGCCAGCGACAAAGTTATCCAGCACAAGTACGTCCTCCAATCTCCCCTCTCCCTCCCTCTTCCCCACCCACAAACCCCCAAACCCAAACACATACTAACACACCCCTTCCAGCGGCGCAGGCACCGTAACCATCAAAAACTACACCATCGTCAACGCGGGCAAGCTCTACCGCTCCTGCGGCGACTGCACCGACAACTCCAAGAAGTCGCCCCGCAAGGTTATTGTCGAGAATGTCCGCGCCTTTGGCCTTACCTCTGATCTCATTGGTATCAACTCCAACTTCGGTGACACAGCCTCCATTAGCGGATCTTGCGGAACGACAAAGAAGGTGTGCCAGGAGTACAAGGGTGTTAACAAGGGGAATGGGAGTAGCAGCAAGGTTAGCTCGACGAGCGCTTGCACGGGTGCTCAGGGGAAGTTGGAGAAGCTGCCGAGCTGTTAGGTGGTCGTCGATGGCCGAGATCTAGTGGTGGTGGTGGATGACTGATGCGTCTCATGTCCGACTGAGGAGACGGGTGCTGGGATGTGTGGACCTAGGATTATGTATATACTCACGTTCATTTTGAGATTTGTATATAGCTTTTTGTGCTGCGATGAGGATGTCGTCAATGATATTGGTATCTGTATGCAGTTAGGTCTGAAGAAGTGAGTTGATGTGTGTTAGTGGTGTTGCGAGTGGGGAGTGAGTAATCACAGGCGTTTGCGCACGTTCCCGGTATTCGTCGTTGATATGAATTAGTCCTCGTTCATCTGGTAGTCATGTCAACCGAAGAAAGAGATGCAGTCTTGCACGAGGCTATCGCGTTGTGTGGAGACTGGCATCGTAGCATCGCGTAGCATCGCGTAGCTGCTAATACAATCTTTTCCGCTGAGTAACGTAGTACATTATGAATCTGAATTCCTTTCCCCCATTCTTACGATATCGTCAAATGACGAGCGAACTAGTAACGCGACACCTCACCTAAGTATTGAGCTGCTGCAATCACATCGGATGTACCTAGTTTAGTGCGCGGAGGGCATTGCTGGTTGTTCGGAAACGGGGCTATGTCGATATCGAACATCTGGGTACTGTCTATATAAGATCTTTTGGTACTTAGAGGGGTGAGGCAGTGTGGAGACGCCGTTGCTATTGGGTGCTGGTCCTGGAATGCATACACGACACAGTCGAGTAACAATATGTATGGTCGCAAGGGATGTACAATTCCAAGATCTTTGTTTCCACTGTTATCAGCCGGTATTGGAAAGCTTTGCGACGGCGATTGAGCGATGTGTCCTTGTTGCAGCCCCTTCGTTTCTCCGTGCAGTAGCGTCCAAGGTTTTGGAGAACAGAACTGTACGGCAGCTACAGCCTGCATACTCAAATATTGAGGTCAGAACGGGCTGGAATAGACGCAGTAGTAGTAGTAGTAGTAGTACGGCAGCTACCAGAGGCAATGTAAACAACAACGTTCTAAATTTGTCTGAGAATTGGGATAAGCATGACCATCCCGAGGTCGCAGGTAGATGTTGACAGTTGTTGAGCAGATTACTCAGGTAGCTGAGGGCGGCATGGCAGGCGGCTTCCCGCGATGATGACGTCAGCAGCTTCCGCAAGCGAGCTCCATCTTCAAGCTACCCCGAAGCTGCCATCCTCATTCTCGAAATGCCTCAACACCAGCCCTTGGCCCATGTCTCCGAAGCCCTGACGACCTGTGTACATGCGGATTCAAAGCTCGATCAAGTAGCGTTCCCGTAAAGTATGGCTACTGCGGCGTCCCCTCATCGTTGGCAGCCAGCTCAAAGTCTTGGTTTTTCCGACATCCGAATTCACCAAACCGTATCGCGGTAGCGGGCCATCCCAAAACCTGGAGAAATACGACGATCGCTTCCGCTAATAGGTGCGGAGCCCCGCAAGATGATATCCAGGGCTTAGGTTCCTGAAAGCTCGGGTGAACACAATCCGGAGCCGCTTGGCTGGTAAACATCCATGCTTCTGCAACCGGCTATATGAGGTCTACAGCCATGTACCAGAAAATGTTTGTCACCCCAGTCCGCTATCGCATCACGTCGCAATGGGTTTCAACACGCTTTCATGCCAGCTGTTGCTAGCTGCAGCGACCGCCTCCGCCAAATGGATCGTTCCGGGAGCGCGTTGGAGAGCTACTGATGACACTCTTGTAAATGCGCACGCTGGTGGCATTACTGTGGATCAAGAGACGGGCAAGTACTTTTGGTTCGGCGAGTACAAGATCGAGGGACAGGAAGAGGGTGGTGGTGTTAGCGTGTACAGCTCCGATGATCTCGCGACATGGGAGCCTCACGGTCTAGCCCTGGAGCCCATCGAGGGCCATCCCTACATCTCCCCTGAGGACATCATTCAACGGCCGAAGGTTGTGTTCAGCGAAGGTACTGGTCAATACCATGTAAGTACTCATCCTCAGCAACCATGGTAGCTTTGCTAACATTAACAGATGTGGTGGCACGCCGACAACTCCACCTACGGAGAGCTTCTTCAAGGTCTTGCTGTCTCAGACAACATCACCGGACCTTACAGCTTCGTCGATGCTACAGCGCCACTTGGAAACTGGTCACAAGATTTCGGTCTATTCGTCGACCAGAAAGACGGCCGCGCGTATTCGCTATACTCTAATGGTGACCGCAGGGAAGGACGCGACGTCTACCTGACATCCTTCAACGAGAACATCACTGCTCTTGATGAAGTCGTTCATCGTTTCGACAAGTACGACCTCGAAGCACCAACGATCGTGCAAACCGATAAGAGCTACTTTGCGCTGATGTCGCACAAGACAGGTTACCGTCCAAACAGTGAGTGTTCTCACCAAGCGGGTATCTACATCACATGCTGACCGCTTCCAGACGTGGTTGCTTTCCGCGCCGACTCCCTTGCTGGTCCTTGGTCTCAACCATTTATCATCGCACCGCTCAACACACGTACCTTCAACTCGCAATCTGGATTGAACCTTCGGATCAATGGTACCAAGAAGACTACGTACCTGTACATGGGTGATCAATGGGACTCAATCAGTCTGTGGGAAAGCAGGTACATCTGGCTACCGCTTGAGATTGATGAAGAGAAGAAGTCCGTTGAGCTCAAGTGGTACGACGTTTACGACCTCGACGTGAAAACCGGAGAAGTCACAGCCATCAACGGAACTACCTACTACGGCAAGGACGCCACCACCACCGGCGACGCCTACCACCAAGAAGCCACCTTCGGCAGCGATGGCGTCATCGTCACCGGCATCTACGGCAACGATAGCAAAGTCACCTTCTCCAACATCGAAGGCACCGGAAAGCCCCAATGGGTCTCATTCTACTATCAGAACACCGATGACATGGGCTTCGGCGACCAGCCTGGAGGTTCACCTGATCGTATCAATGGAACTTGGCAGCTTCGCCGCATCTCGAGTGTTATTGTTAACAACAAGACGGAAGAGGTTGAGTCACTGTATCAGAGAGATACGCACAAGGGGATCATTCTGAGCACGCCGCTGATGTTGAACTTGGAGGAGGGTAGTCATAACACTATTACTATTGGTGGGCTGGATAATGGGCAGGATGTTAAGGGCGCGGATATTGATCGTATTGTTGTGTACCCGCCGGAGGAGTAGTTTGCGAGTACTAAATCAATACATATAGAAGGGTGTCCGGTATGCAGAGATCGAGAGAATCGTTTCGGTCATTGCGTAACGCGAGTGGTGCCAAGAAATAGTGAATGATGGCCGTACACAACAGTAGCTGGAGCCTAGCGCCCAACGGATTCTCCTGCCTACATAAGTCTACGAACTGTTGACGGAGTCCAAGGGCGCTCACGTCTACGCCTCGACCTACTCTGCTTGACTTCTCGATCGACCACCCTACACGCTCGGTAGCAGTCGCTTACGAGTCCTCGGAACATACCAACCAGATAGCGCACAATGTCGTTACTATCACTGCCCGCCGAGATCATCGGCAGAATCTGCCGTTATCTTGGGATGATTCAGGATGAACGCGGCGGCTTCACTCACTATTGCAACACTGATGAGTTCCTACCACTTCGTATAACTTGTCGGGAGTTGTACTCGAAGACCATGTACGACGCGTCGGTGAGATATGGGCTACTTCTTGAGCTGCTAGATATTGAAGCCAGTCACAAGGGGCTCTGCGCCCTTCTTCACATCACCAAGATCCCCGATTTCTCCAAGCGGATTCGAACATTGATACTCAAGTCTCCTTATGAGAACGAGCCAGCTCCGCCAGACTACTTGATGGCTGATTGGGTGAGGGATCTCCGCGCACCAACTACACATGACACACTTACTGACGCCATTCACCCACGCCTTAGGCTAAAGCCGCGTTTCGAGCGCAAATCGTCGACGATATAACAACGTCTTTGGAGGCTAGCGAGACGGTACACCTTCTCGCGCAATGTTTCCGGAACTTGAAAGACGCCCCTATGCTATCGGAGATCATCGTTCACGGGCGCAACTTGTACGGTCTTGTTCCCGCCGCTCTGGCAGCAAGTGAGTTTCCGCGCGAGATCGCAATCTTCGAGGTACTAGCGCAGCCTGTCGTCAAATCAGGCTATCGCAGTGTTACGAATTTCCCAGAGGAGTGCGCGTCATATACCAAAGGTCTGAGCATCAAAGCGCCCGACTCGGCTTTCGAGGATAGGACGCCACTTCATAGGAAGCTGAAAAAGCGGAAAAAAAGACAGCTCGGCAAGCAAGGCTACCACTTCAAAGGATATCAGCCAAGCTATCGAGAGTTCTCCAGGTTTCTTGCAGCGTATAACGACATCACCCATCTTCAAATCGCTGGATGCGATAAATTGCCCATGTTACGGCTCTGCGACGGATGCGAAGCGGTGTTCAAACATATTGCGACCGCGAACTTTCCTCACCTAACCTATCTCTCTATGGATAAGACCTACGTGAGCGGGGGCCGGCTCCGCCGCTTCGTCAAGCAGCACACTACGACACTGAAGGAAGTCCGCTTCTCATCCGTTTCTCTGACGGATGGCTCATGGAAATCTCTAGCCCAGGGCTTGCTCAAACTACCACAACTCGAGACGCTCTACCTCGACTCCCTCTACCAAAAGCACGAGGTCACCAAGTCCAAGATTCCGTCTTTCTCAGACCAGAGGTGGTATCTCGAGCTCGTATATCACGGAAAGTCCAACATCAAGCTCTTTCTGCAGATGTTCCTGCAGCACTTCTGGACGGCGAAGTTCGGTCGCAAACCATATTCTCGTGGCTATACCACACAACCGTCGCGCAAGACTCGGGCAAGATACTACGAGGTGTACATGTATGACTTCCCTGAAGTTGTGGCGAGTAACGGATATATGGAAGCTGCATACGTTGAGAAACGGTATGCGGAAGAGGTCTTGGACGTTAGTTCTGACTGGAGTGATATGCAGTCGTACAGGATTTACTACTAGGGGATACATGCTTGCTGGACGAGGCGTTTTACACGGCTAAAGCTTAGCGACCATTCTGAGGGTCTAATATGGGTTTTCGCGTGTAGTTTTGTCACATTATAACAGCAACTTGCATTCTGAGGGCGTCCAAACCGATGATGGTTTAGAGCCCAGTCCTGTACATCATCGCTCAACCCAGATACTAGTCATCTTTGCTAATTTATCACGTTCTGGCCCTACTTTGGTCCGCTGGCAAAAATACCCCATCATGCCCCAATGTTAGCTTTCAATCCTCGTGCTTTATCTGTCGTTCCGCAAGCAGGAGCTTTTGTGCATCTCGACTAAAATTGATTGCCTCTTGGTCCAGTGCTGAGACAGATAGAGCGTGCGAACTCTTCCTGCATAGCGCTATTGGACGAGATCAGCGCAGTCGATGCGATACGCGATCTCTTGGAACGTGGTTTACCAGATATTTCCATGACCTGCATTCGGTACGGTACCACCACTCGTAACTTTTGCGATCCGATAGTCAAAGATCTCATCAGCAGTTACACTAGGATAATGAATGATAATCAGTGGAAGCGCGTGCAGCCTACCGTCTGACCTAGATGCTCGGGTGTGATCAGAATCCGTGCTGCGCCTGGTCGCTACCTAGGTAGTCATTGTACCGTAGTTGGACTAGCGCCATCACATATGTTTGCTGCTTCCTCTCTCTCATTTCCAATCTCTGCGTCTCTCGTACTTCCACCTTCCGCCTTACGACTGCAAATTCCGCCCGCTCAGTCAGTTGGCCACACCAGCGTCAACTCCTGACTTCGTCGCCTTTCTACGCCACCGTGGGATTTTATCGGTCGCTCGCGATACCCTACCATACAATCACGACCACAACCACCTTCGGCGCCTTGATCACATGATACCCACATTCTGCTCTGCACACTTGCACGCCCAGATTCCAGCTGATATATAGCCCTCACATTCTCTTCTCGCTCGCGATACCCTCAACCGACTGAACAAGGCTTCCGCCTGCGCATCCAGGAGTCTACATCAGCCACCTCACTCAAGCTTCGCGCCTCCACCTCACCGCTAGACGCCTACATCAGCGACAACACTCAAGCTTCGCACCTTTTTGGAATTAACGTAGGCTTCAACCGCATTCCTCTAGTCGATTTGGAATGTCTCTACTATCCCTACCCACGGAGATCATCAGCAGGACCTGTCGATACCTAGGCCTGGAGCACGATGTAGATGGCTTTTCATCCTACAATAACGATGACCTGAAGTCGCTCCGCCTGACCTGCCGAGACCTTCACGCGAAGACCACTTTCGACGCCGCGGTTAGGTACGGACTATTGCTAGAGGAGCTCGAGATAGTCGTCGACTATAAAGGACTTTGCCAGCTATTGCACTTAACTCAAATACCAGCTTTTCGCGACCGGATCAAGCGAGTGCTGTTCTACTATCCTAGCGTGAATAGCACGGAAGACGACTGTGATATTCCATGGGGAATGTCCCCGATCCGTGAAATGCGCCGCGAAGAGATTTTGACAAACTTGGAAGCCAGCGAATCTGTTGAACTTCTAGCAGCATGCTTCCGGAACTTGAAGCAAGCGACTTCTTTGGAGGAAGTTCCGGCACAGGATACGGACTTGCACCGCCTCATACATGCCGCTTCGGCGAGGAGCGGTTTTGCAAGGAAGGAGGCAGTCTTCACAGTACGGCCTGAAAATCTAAGTGGCGCTGATCATCGTACTCTGATGATATATCCTGCGGATTGCTCACCATACACCAAGGGTATCGAGATCAGCACCCCGACCTTACCTTTCGAACGTCCCGAAATCAAGCAGATAATACAGGACGCCAAAAGGTGCAACGAGCATGGATATTATCTGAAGGGCTATCAGCCGGATCACACAAATTTGTCACGACTTATCGCAAATTATAGTCAGATCGAGACCCTTCGCCTGGATGGGTGCGAGACCTATCCTCGCTTGAGATTCTGCGACGGCTGCCATGTAGTATTCTCTAGGCACATTGCTACTATACAGTACTCTAACATTACCACGCTAAGTCTCCACGCAACTTACATTAGCAGGGGTCGACTTCGACGTTTTATAAAACAACACTTAGCTACGTTAAAGGAATTTAACTGCACATTCGTAACGCTAATGGACGGATTATAGCGCTTGATTGCCTAAGGCCTATATAAGCTTCTAAAGCTAGACATGCTACACTAGGCTCTTATGTTCTAAAAGCATGCAGTAAATCGCGTTTAGAATAATTCTCTGTCCGAGATAGAACTTAGACTATTCTGTCTCTATAGTTGTACTTAGAAGAGAACCTTAAACGTTAAGTACTATCTACAGACCTTTCTAGACAGATTCTGCACGCGCAAGTACAACAGAAACGCTAGAGGAATTAGAAGTAGTTTTACTGCTAGAAAAACACTACTAAGTTTCTATAAGGTTATTATGTATTGTTCCGCTAACGTAGTAATAGAGCCTACTAGAATAGCTTTAGTATACGCGATTCGACAATATGCGGAAGAGATTCTAGAATAATTTATCTAGGACAGCGAAACGATTAGATAGCTTGTTAAGAAGAATAGAGAGAGTAATTAATTAGTGCTAATTAGTTAAGGTAGAATTCTTGTGTACAAAGATACTAATCTTTACAGACCTGTAGGCAAGATTACAGTATACTCTACTTAAGTATATATTATTACTAGATTATACTCTTTCTAAGACAGTATCGTAGTAACTACCTCTCTATTTTAGCTAAGAGCTAAAACTTAGTTTTATAAAAGTACCTATAGTTATATACTCTTACTACTACTACTTTTTTTTTCTTTTCTTTTTTTATACTAAGTTAAAAAGTTTTTAAATCTTTTCTAGTATATAAGCTAAGTTAAAGTATTACTTCTTATAGTTAGTATAAGCTTAGCTTAGCTTTTTAATCTTAACTAGCTTAGCTAGTTAAGCTTAGAAAAAGTCTTAGTAATACTAATTATTTAGAGCTATACTTATTAGTTAGCTTAGCTAAGTAGCTTTTAAAATACTATATACTATTTTAAGAGCTACTTTATTCTTTAGTAATAAAGTATATAAGTTAGACTTTATTTATTTAGCTAAAATTAGAAGAGATAAAAAAGCTTATTATAAGTGTTTTAATTTTTTTTTTTTATTATATAGTTAATAGTAAGTTAATTATAGTACTACTAATAGCTTTACTATTAGTAAGTAAAATAATATAATTATTAAAAGTATTTATAAATAAGTATTATAATAAATATAAAGAAGTTTATTTTAGTATATTACTTTTATACTTACTACTACTTATATAACTATAATATAGCTTATAATAGTTTAGTTCTTTAGATATTAGACCTATATTAGCTTAATAACCTACTATATATATATTTAATCTCTAAGTACTTTTTATAAGTCTTACTATAATAATATTATAATTTAATATAATATTATTATCTAATTTCTATATAACTCTTATATATTATTATAGTTCTCTAACTTTAATAGTAATTTAGTAAATTAGCTAGTTACTCTAATAAGATCTACACTAATAATTATAACTATATTACTAATCTCTTTTTAGTCTTTAGTTAGTAATACTTTTATTAAAGATATTTTCTATATTCTCTTTTATAACGCTAGCTCTAGTTAGACTATAGTAAGTATTAAGACTAGCTATATAATAACTACTTCTAGTACTACTACTTCTTTATTTACTAAATCTACTACTATCTTTACTACTTATAGTTAGCGTAGCTACTAGTAGTTTTAGTTCTTATATATTACTATATTAAAAAACTCTCTTACTATAATAGTATTTAGTTTTTAAAACTTTTATTAGTTTTTTTTTTACTTTTATAGATTCTTTAATCTATATAATAGTAGCTTTTTTAATATCTTTAGCTTCTTCTAGAATAGCTTCTAGTATATCTTTCTTATAGAAAGTAGTTCTTTTACTAACTCTAAGAATAATAATACTAACTTTACTAAGATTTATTACTACCTTAATAATTATAATAACTATAACTATAGTAACTTAGTTAAGCTTCTAATAAGTAATACTAAAACTATTAGCTTTAATAATTAGCTACTTAATATTACTAAGACCTATAGTAGTAAGAAGTATTCTTACTACTTTTTTCTTAGTAATCTACTTAGTTACGTTATCTATAGTAGTGTATACTATCTAACTAATTTATATAACTTATCTCTTAGATAGTATACTTTCTTACTATAACTTACTTAGAACGCTAATTATAGTACTAATTATAATAATAACTATAGCGCTAACTATAATATTTACTAGAGTACTATCTATAAAGTAAATAATAAAGTAGAGTCTAACTTCTCTACTTCTAAGTTACTAGAACTAGTTACTTATTACGTTATATTTTATATCTCTACTAATTATAATATTACTAGTTATATTATCTTTAAGTCTAATCTCTTTTAAGATAGTAAGTTTATTCTATTAGCTTATAAGCTTAATATATAAAACTAAGCTAAATATATTAAAGAATTTAATAAAATACTTTTTAAAGATAGTTCTATTTATATAGTTTTCTAAAATAGTATAAAGCTTTAAAAGCTTTTCTTTAATACTATTAGTTACTTTAATAATAATCTAGCTCTATATATTAGTTATCTATAGAAGATTTAAAAGAAGCTTACTAATAAGTATAATACTTTCTATTAGCTACGCCTTTAAGCTACTAAGAATAATAAAGCCTTAAGTATTTTATAATAGTAGCTACTTAGCTCTAATAGTAAGTATATATACTTATAGAAATAACTATATATAATAAAAAGTAATATCTATATATTTATAGTCTAACTTAAAAAATATTATATTACTTCTAAATAATAAATTACTTAAGTATATAAGTAAAAAGATACTTATAAGAAAGTATATAAGAAGAAATATACAATCTATATTAAAGCGCTAAAGAAAGTCTTTTATCTTTATTTACTTATTAAAAAAACTACTTTTATCTT